GAAACCCTCTAATATTCATGGGTCTGCTTCTTGAACTCAAGCAAATGTGAAAAAAAATGAAAACAAAAACAGGAATTTTATCCTTAGGAAATTAAGAAGTTCATTTTCTAGGGTCTTAAGGTACAGACAGGACATGTTTCTGTGATACATGCTGTTTCCCAGCCTCTTACCACGAAAATTTTTGATAAAGAATTCTTTGGTATTTTTTGTTTTTGTTTTTTTTTTTTCTTAAGCCTAATGAGTTCTAATTACAGCAACTGAATTTTGAATAAACTAGATTGCCTTAAGCAGGGAACAATAGTAATTGTGAAGTCACACTAATATGGTAGCTGGCACAAACTGAAAAGATTTTAAAACTTACACAATTTGAGGAGGCTTACACATCTTCAAGAAATCAACACTTTGGATACAATGGTAGGCATGAGGGCCAGCCCTGTAGCCTGTTGGTTAAGGGAACTGGATCCCACATGGCTGACTGCACATTCAAATCCCAGCCCTGGCAGCTTAAAAACATGCTGGGCACTTAAGCACCTGTGTCCCAAATCCTGACCAGGTAGAGAAATGGACAAGGGACTGCAGCATAACCACATCCCACTGGAAGGTGTTTTCTCCCTTTCCCTCTTTGGCAAGCACATACGCCCTCTGGCTACACACAAAAAAAATAAAAATTAAAAAAAAAAAAAAAACAATGAAAATATAAGCCTTAAGAGGACTCTGTGTGAGTAACGGGTCCTGAAGCTGAAGCAGGGACCAGGTGGCTCTACACTGCCTGTGGGGGACTTGAGAAAGGGCAAACTCTGCAACCAACCAGCCTTTTCTACTAGGCTTCTAATATCCTTATTTCCGTATCAGTGCTCGTCCCTTCCTGGAGGGACCACAGAAGCAGCCTTTGCTTGGAACATCTCCTGGCTTTCTGCCCATGCTGAAATCAAAGAAAAGCTGGGCAAAGCATGATTTTTCCCAAATATCTTTGGTTCTTTTGTTTAAAAGGATTATCAGGATAACTTGCCAAAGTACATAAGGAAGTCCAGAACCTAAGGAGACAGGAAAGTTCTCACCTCCAAACTCTAGATCTATCTGATTACCCCTGAGAAAGTCCTTAGAACGCAGGGAAATGGACTAAAGTGGGGCTTTGCCTCTTGCCTTCTATTTTTCTCTTTCTTTTTCCCTGCTCCCCATAGGAAACAAAATAGTATTAAATGGGCTAGGGAGGCCGAAAAACAGGTTAGCAAATTTCTCCCACTTTTGGATTTTTGTTTTTTTGTTTTTTTTTTGAGAGATTTTCACTGTAGGGCGCGTGCACTCGCCAGACAGACAGAGAGAGACATAGAGACAGAAAGCGAGAAATCACCCCCCAGGGGGGATGGTCACGCCGCAATCCCTTCTCCTCCATTCTCCTCTCGGGATCTTGGGCATGCACGCACACGCGCCCAGCGTGAGTTTTAAGCCACCGGGTCCGGGACACGAACCACGGTCGACTACGTGGGAGTCCAGCGACATAGCCATTACGCTAACTGCTGGTTCCCCCACTTTTGGGTTCTTAAAGTGAATTCCATTCAGTTAGAGAGAGACCTAGAATCAAATCCCAGGCCAATACTCATCAAGTGGTCTTGAGTAAGAAAAATATGACCTCTCTGATCATTAAGTTCTATAAAATGGGAATAAGAATGCTTGTATTCCAAGATGTTCATGTGGCTTAAAATGTCAAATGCACCTAGAGCAGTGCTTGGCACATGGAGCCACTTGCTGCGGTAAATTCCTTTGCAATGTGACACTGCCATTCCAATTCTTCAATTGGAATCCAATTCTCAGAAATTGGATTCTGTCTCTGCTTCTGAGAACTGGGCCAGTCTCAACATCTCCTGACAAACAGAATACTGTAAAGAAAGGTCGGGAGGGTTCTAGTACCTGGGTAGGCCTCAAGAGGCCTTTTGATGTCTTTCACTCTCTGGGATCGTTGCCTGGAGACCACCCTGTAACGGAACCTGTCCTGTCTATTGGAGGATAAGAGGCCACGAAGAGAAAACCAAGGCTGCCTGGCTGACAGCCACAGCTACCAGTCATACTGGCAAGAATCAGCACAGCTGACCCTCCAGCTGAATGCCCCCACTCGAGTAAGCTGTAACCATCAGAGAAGCTTCCCAGCCAATCCACAAAGTCACAAGAAATAATAAAGCACTGTCTTAAGCCTCTAAGGTTTGGGGTTGGTTTGTTACTTGGCAATTGAAACACTGCTCAATAACCAGCTCTTGGTATTATTATCCCTTTTATTTTTTAAGAATTATCTTTTTATTTTATCCATTATTCAATTTGACCAGAGAGAGACATAGAGAAAGAGAAGGAGAAGGCAAGCCACCAGGTCCAGGACTCAAACCACAGTTGCCCATGTGAGAGTCCAGTGTCTTAATCACCATGTCACCTGCCAGCCCCTATTAGCCCTTTCTTAATCAAGAAGAGTTAAACTTATTTCTCCAGTAGCACCCAATCATACAGGAATGTGATCTTCTCCATCTGAAACAATGTGATCATTTCCCTCTCCTTTTAAACCCTGGCCTAAGAACCCTGTATCTTGGGAACCAGCAGTTAGCTTAATGGCTATGTCACTGGGCTCCCACATAGTTGACCGAGGTTCCCATCCCGGACCAGGTGGCTTAAAACTCACGGCGGGCGCACGTGCGGGTGTGCCCAAGATGGTGAGAGAAGATTGGAGGAGAAAGGATTGCAGCGTGACCATCCCCCCTGGGGGGTGATTTCTTGCTTTCTGTCTCTCTCTGTCTGGTGAGCGCACGTGCCCTATAGCAAAAACCTCTCAAAAAAAAAAAAAAAAACCTGTATCTTGTCTATACCTCTGATCTGACCAAAGCATTTGGAGACTAAGGTAAGAAGATAGCCAAGGAGTTCCTAAATTCTCTAAGTAGCCTTTTTATCTTGTCACCTGAGGGTCACTTAAAATGCTACTCCAGGTACTTTCAGAGTGGCTTCTTTTCTGATGGCTTCCCAGAAAACTGCCAATAGCTAAAACTGGTTCCAACCAGACTATTTCCCAATAAAGGTGGTACTTACCTGTTTCATTATCTGATCTATCTAGTCAAAAGAATCTAAACACAATGGCATATTTCTTGGACTCACTTTTCAGGTGACTGAGGTCATATGCAAAACAAATCGCCTGCGGCTTCTTCACATCACAAATGTCAGGTGGCCTCAGTTTAACACTTATTACAAACCTGTTTAAATTCAGACCTAGTAAGTCACCTAACAGGACCTAAGCTTGGCCCATAGACTTGGTAATAAAGAACTGTCCTGGGGCAACACTCCTGAGGCAAGATTTTGGTGAATGTGGTCCAAGTTGAGATCCAAGTGGCTCATGGGAGCTGAAGTTTTCCCAGTTTTATGAAATAGGGTTAAAGTGACCCAACTTGTAGACCTCTAAGCCCTAATGACACACTCACATGATACAACCTATTAACATTTTAAACTAGAAGATGCTCTCAAGATTTCTTAAAATGGCAACCTGATCCCCTCTAACTCGCGGGGTTGATCAAAGTAGACAAGTATCCTCTTTCTTGCATGCACCAAGTACAGGGTTTTGTTGGGTTTTGTTTTATTTTAGGAAAATATTCCGCTCACCCACTATTTTAATTCTAATAAGTTGCCCATGTGAGAGTCCAGTGTCTTAATCACCATGTCACCTGCCAGCCCCTATTAGCCCTTTCTTAATCAAGAAGAGTTAAACTTATTTCTCCAGTAGCACCCAATCATACAGGAATGTGATCTTCTCCATCTGAAACAATGTGATCATTTCCCTCTCCTTTTAAACCCTGGCCTAAGAACCCTGTATCTTGGGAACCAGCAGTTAGCTTAATGGCTATGTCACTGGGCTCCCACATAGTTGACCGAGGTTCCCATCCCGGACCAGGTGGCTTAAAACTCACGGCGGGCGCACGTGCGGGTGTGCCCCAGATGGTGAGAGGAGATTTCTTGCTTTCTGTCTCTCTCTGTCTGGCGAGCGCACGTGCCCTATAGCAAAAACCTCTCAAAAAAAAAAAAAAAAACCTGTATCTTGTCTATACCTCTGATCTGACCAAAGCATTTGGAGACTAAGGTAAGAAGATAGCCAAGGAGTTCCTAAATTCTCTAAGTAGCCTTTTTATCTTGTCACCTGAGGGTCACTTAAAATGCTACTCCAGGTACTTTCAGAGTGGCTTCTCTGCTGATGGCTTCCCAGAAAACTGCCAATAGCTAAAACTGGTTCCAACCAGACTATTTCCCAATAAAGGTGGTACTTACCTGTTTCATTATCTGATCTATCTAGTCAAAAGAATCTAAACACAATGGCATATTTCTTGGACTCACTTTTCAGGTGACTGAGGTCATATGCAAAACAAATCGCCTGCGGCTTCTTCACATCACAAATGTCAGGTGGCCTCAGTTTAACACTTATTACAAACCTGTTTAAATTCAGACCTAGTAAGTCACCTAACAGGACCTAAGCTTGGCCCATAGACTTGGTAATAAAGAACTGTCCTGGGGCAACACTCCTGAGGCAAGATTTTGGTGAATGTGGTCCAAGTTGAGATCCAAGTGGCTCATGGGAGCTGAAGTTTTCCCAGTTTTATGAAATAGGGTTAAAGTGACCCAACTTGTAGACCTCTAAGCCCTGATGACACACTCACATGATACAACCTATTAACATTTTAAACTAGAAGATGCTCTCAAGATTTCTTAAAATGGCAACCTGATCCCCTCTAACTCGCGGGGTTGATCAAAGTAGACAAGTATCCTCTTTCTTGCATGCACCAAGTACAGGGTTTTGTTGGGTTTTGTTTTATTTTAGGAAAATATTCCGCTCACCCACTATTTTAATTCTAATAAATTAAAGTCATTCAAAGCACCCTCATTTCTGACTCTAAGTTATAAGCCTAGTATTCTTAGGCAAATTAGTTTTATTCACAGACTATTCACAGACATTTCACTAAACCCGTGTACGAATTCTGTATTACCTTGTGGAAATGTGTCCAGGAACAAGATCACATTGCTGTTTTCATTGGCCATGTGTTCCTTTAGGTCCTCTTGAAGCTATTTCTGGATTAAACCCATAAACCTACAACTCAGCCTACTGACCTTTCACTGAGCAAAGCCAAGGCATGACAACCTTGGCTAGCCTTGAGGAACATGATATGAAATGGCATCACAACACGAAGTCGCTAGGTTTTACTGTACGATCCTGGGAACATTGTTGAATGCCGGCCTCTGCAAATGCAGTGTTTTCTTAATGAAAATCCAAGAAAGAAACTTCTCTTGCCTCCTGAAATCAGGAATAGGCCAGCATTTTGTTTTTCTTCTAGATACCCTGAAGTTTGTTATGGATAGTTTACCTCTTCTCTTCGGCCACAAGAAAGCTTAAAGGCAGAAATTCAAGCAAGAAGAGAATAAGACTTTAAAACACATAAACCAGGCTCACTCATACCTCCATTTAATTTTCCTTTTTTATACTAAATGTATGTTATCATGTCATATTTATGCATCTTTATAAGCTATATCAAATCCTTTTTTGGGAACTAAATATAAATAATACTGAAGATATGCTAGTCAGTGTGCATACCTAATCCCGCTAATATAGAGAATTCTTATAAGCAAGGGCTGTGCACTGCCCCACTTTGAAATTCCTACATCTATCATTGTGTCTACACTGCTGAATGAATAGTTGGGGAATTAAATAATACATTTTGATAGCACTTTGCTACTTGAATTATAAACAGTACACTAATGAAAGACCATTCATCTCCAAAGCAAATTAATGCAAGTATGAAGAGATACACATCAAGAGTGTTTACTGCAGCATCATTAGAAGCAACCTGGAAGGCCCACTGACTGGGATATGGTTAACTGTATTGCTACAGACATGTAAGTAAACTGGATGATATGGGAGGTAGACTGCAAAATAATACATTCTTCATAAATAAATAACTCTGGGCAAGTTCTAATATTTATAGAGAAAGGAGTCGGGAGATGTAGTTCCCAAACTGATAACTGGTTATGTGTAGGAGTGAAACTAGAAGAGGTAAGTTTGTTTAAGGGGAAAGAGGCGAACTTTTATTTCACTGTTGACTATTATTTGCGATTTTTTTTTTACAATGATAGTTTTGCTTTTGTAATTTAAACAAAAACACTAAAGAAAACATTTAGGAACTTAAGGCTACAAAGCATTGTCAATCCTCAAAATGCCAAGTATCTTAAGGGTCTGACTCAGGGATATGAAGCTGGCAGTTGCCAAACATGCTGCCTTAACTTTAGGTGATTAGGTCTTCACTCTTGGCCTTCTTCACTCAAAATTTGATCTTGCCCCGGACTCCTCTATTATTCTAATTCCCATGGCTTAACAGCTAAGGGAACCTGATCCCACATGACTCACCATAATTCGAATCCAGGCCCCAGAGGCTTGAAAAACATACCATGTATGTGTGTGTGTACCCCAAATTCCAAAAGAATAGAGAAATGAAAGATAGAAGGAACTGCAGCATGACCATCCACTGGGTAATATTTTCTCACTTTCCCCCTCTGTATGTCTCTCTTTGGGAAGTGCATGGGCTCTCTGGCAAAATTTAAAAAAAAAAATTCAGGGACCAGCAGTTAGCATAATGGCTATGTCGCTGGACTCCCACGTAGTTGACTGTGGTTCGTGTCCCGGACCCAGTGGCTTAAAACTCACACCGGGCGCATGTGCGTGCATGCCCAAGATCCCGAGAGCAGAATGGAGAATGGATTGCAGCATGGTCATCCCCCCTGGGGGGTAATTTCTCGCTTTCTGTCTCTCTGTCGCTCTCTGTCTGTCTGGCGAGCGCACACGCCCTATATGACAGGAGTCTTTCTCAATCTGGACAAAGCTATAAGTCCTTAAAATAGAATGAAATAAATTATAAAGCATTTCATTACATTCATAATTGTCTCGATGTTTTTACATGTATTTGAAAAAAATATGTTAATTGGACAAGACTAGTCTTAAGAATCATATCCCTAAAATGCAACACTTTGTAAAGGGAGCCTTTGAATTTGTTAGAAACTTTTCATCAAATGAAAACTCCCTCTCCCATTCCACTAAATAAATCCATATCACATAGGAAGACCTTTTCCACGTCTTCTAAATATTCTTTTTAAGGGTTTTTTATTTTTTTAAAGGAGGAGCTGGCATAGCATTAACACCAGGCTCTGTAAGGCTGACTTACACAGGAAAGTGGCAGGGTTGGATCTGGGGACCTTCCTGAACACGATGGGTATGGGTGTCCGTGATCAGGGGCTGGCTAAGTTTGGGGGCCCTTCTGAGGGCTCTCTCTTTCTCTCTCATGAAAGAAGAAATGAATACACTTTATTTTGTAAATAAATGTTTTTTTAAAGAATTATTTAACTTTATTGATCATTATTATTCGAATATTTTCAGAGAGCAAGAGAGAGTAAACGAGCGAGAAAGTGAGAAAGCAAGCCTCCAGGTCTGGGACTCGAACCATGGTTGGCCACGTGGGAATCCAGCGCCCTTAGCCTCCACCCTACCTGCTGGCCCTAAATAAATGGTTTTCAAGCCTATTTGGAAAAAACTAGTTAAAATTAACTTGACAATGATAGTTTTTCATGTTCCTTCAACTGTCTTAAATTTCAGAGGCACATGCACTCTTCAGAGGGAGAGAGAAAAAAAGGGAGGAAGAAAGCACCCTTCAAATGCTGTGTGGTCATACCATAATCCGTTCTCTTCCATTTCTTCATCCTATTGGGTGAGGCATCCATGCACATGCATCTAACTTGTTTTTCAAGCCAACAGGCCAGGTCTTAGATGGCAGTCAGTCATGCGTGATCTGGTTCCCTTAATCATTCAGCTATGAACCCAGCTCCCATGTCCCTAATTATTTTTTGTAATTGCCAGAGGGCTCGTGCACTTGCCAGAGTGAGACAGGGAGAGGGAGGGGAAAAAAAGCACCCCGCAAAAGGGGTATAGGCATGCTGCACTCCCTTCTCCATTTCTCAATCTCATCAGGATTTTAGGCACCTACCCACAGGTACCCAGCCTGGGATTTGAACTGCAGTTGGCCATGTGAGATCCAGTTCCCTTAACCACTAGACCACAGGGCCAGCTTGTCCCTAACTGCTCCAAGTTAAATTGGAACTAAAATATAAACTCATCAAGGTGCAGTTAGTTGTTTCTAGGGTTGCATGGAAAAATAGAATGGACCATCACACAGCACAAGCCAGAACCCAAAACTGGGCTCCACAAGAGTAGCCAGGTCATGAGTCAGAGGGTCAGAAATTATCTGAGAAACCAGAGTTGAAGACATGTAAAGAAAAAATATCAACTAAGGTAAGGGATGGGTCAAAGAGAAGATCCAACTAGGTCAGAAAGGCAATGGCAAAAGCAAGCAGTAACTAAGCAACCCGCTGGGGTGAACTCTGATACCTGTGTACTTTTTCTCCCAGCTTTGTTTTAACTAGTTGGTGGGGGTGTTAGAATCAGTTGTTTACTGTTATAAAAAAGAAACCAAAAGCCCTCAGAGAGACTCTGCCCTTGAATTACTCCAGGGCAGATACTGGAATTAGCTCACAGATGCTGGTTGCTACCTCACCTATTTCTTGATGATCCCCCCAAAGACTACAAGTGATAAATTCAAGTTTGATTGTAGATCTTGAAATAGTCTTCAAAGGATATCTCAATAATTTCACCTTTTTATAAAATGTAATGAGAAGTGGCCAACTTCCTAACGCATTTGATCAGTAAATGGGGTTTTGAAACAACACATCCTGTCTGATTCTTCTGCTCAAGACTTCTCAAAGCTGGAAGTAGTGGTGTGAGCCTCCCACTAACCACTCCACACTACGAGCCCCTTTGCTCCCTAACCAGCCCTTGAAAGCCAACAGGATGCAAATCGATCAATGAGTAGTTCGAGATCCACTTGTCTTCTCATTCAACCCATTGAGAAAAATCCTGGGAACCAGCTGATGGCGGCGTAATGGTTACATCACTGGACTCCCAGACTTAAACTCATGCTGGACGTTGGTGCATGTGTGCCCAAGAGGAGAATGGGGAAGGGATTGCTGCATGGCCATTCCCCCTGGGAAGTGATTTCTTGCTTTCTGTCTCTCCATCGAGCACACACATTCTATAACAAAAATCTCTCTTTTTAAGAAAAAAAAAAAAAAAAACAAACATGGCTTCACAGCAATGTGCTTTCAAATCCAGTTTCACTCCTTCCATACTCAAAACCCAACTGCAACTGTTTGGCTTTGAAGTGGATAAAACTGGTGGCAAGTCCCACCAGTTTACTGTCGTCATTTAAACGCCCATCCCACTGCCTCTCATCCATGTGAGTCTTACACCATGAGACACTCGATGAGTTCCCACACTCCCTTCTGGGTCCACTGACTGGGTCCAGACAGCTCCAATTCTACGTGCCCCCAATGCTCCGAACATCTCCAACCACCCATTAGACAAATGGATTCCACATAGTAGACTGTGGTCCATTAATAGGTTATGAGTTTTTAAGAACACAAAATAGAAACAGAAATAGAACAGAAACAGAAACTTGTTTCAGATACACACACTTATTCATGTCCTGGGTCTCTGTAAAAATGCATTTTGTTCTGTTGTAGTCCAAAAATGTTCGAGACGTGGTGTGAGACAAGCCTTTATCCATCTAGGGAAACCACCCCCCATGATACTGCCCTCATTGTTCAGCAACGCCTGTCCCCCGTGCTGGCTCAAGCTCTGCACAGGCTTCCAGCTGTCTTCTTCATCAGCTATTTTCAAAAACCTGGGCCTTTTATGTTTATTCACAAACTCCTCATGTATCCACAGGACTGCCTTCTCCTCGAACAGACCAATGTTTTGAGCAAAGAACCACCCTTTGCTATTCCTGCCTCATCCTGCCTTCTCCAGTTTGGGATCTGCATGCAGCACATCCAACTGTCTCACGGGAATAACAAGCCTCGAAGCAGTAGGGCTCTGTTCCTTTGTGTGCTACCTTTCATCCCCAACAAGAAAAAGAAAATACCACCAAAGCCGCCCTTGAAATACCTTAGATTTTCGTACCAAATGAGCCTCACTTGCCTGATGCAATGCATCATGATACAAGGTGGAATCCAGTGCTCTATACCACTGCCAGGTGAAGATGCTTCATTCCTAATGCTCAGTTCAAGTCTGTTCCCATCCTGAGAACAGATGGCTCCTCCACCTCCATACTGCTATCTTCTTCCTCTCACAAGGCACATGGCAAGAGGATTGTACTAGCACGGTAACCTTTCCTCTCAAGGACCAGGGCACAAGCTGTCCTACAACTCCACCCCCAGTCCCGCTTTCCCTTAAGCAAGTGCCTACGATTCTCCCCCAGACAATTCATTCATTATGTTCCTCAACAGAAAA